AAAAAAAAATTATCATTGTTTATCTTAAAAAATTAAAAATAAGTAATTTAGGATAAATTTAAAATAAAAAAGTTAATATTTGGGACAAATAGAGTATTGGTGAGTGTTTACATGTGAGTTCCATGGCGAGTTATGACTAGTCTCAAATAAAAAATTACTAATATAAAAGTAAAAGTAATGATAAATATATGATCAAAATTTAAAAATTAAAATTTAAGATTAATGACTTAGTATAAATCATGTAATTAAAAAATTAAAATATAAATAATATATTAATTAATAATTAATTATTTTTATTTAATTAAAATTCATGTTATTATATATATTAACTCATTTAATAATATGACTTATATAGCATAATTGGTTCTTAATTTCATCCCATGCCTTCCTCCCTTATGTAAAACTTATTTATTAATGTAGGAGCCCATGAATTTAATAAAAGAAATTTTTTAATAATGTATTTATTATATTTTTTTATTACTCTTATTAATTTGTACGAAAACAAGAAAAAATAAAAATTAATTTTAATTTTATCATCAATCAATTAAAATTTTCACGTAATATTAATATTGAAAATAAAATTTATTTTCATAATTTTTTTATATAAATTAATAATAAAATGGTATAATAAATATTCCTTTAATAAATTAGTTTAAGATAGTTTCTTAATTAGCATGTTCTTCAACCTCAACCAAATCCAACCCAACCCAAAAGTCAAGAGGCTGAATGGATTTATGGAAATATGCATGCATGGCGTTGATGGCAAGTAAGGTGGAAATGGAAAATAAAAAATGAAATCTTTGAAAAGAGCAAAATGGGCAGCTGAGAATAGCTTGAATTCCAAGTAGGGTTGTTCATATGCGATCTAATTTGATTGATCCGACTTAAATTGATTTGATTCAATCAAAAACCAATCCAAACCGATATAAAATTGGGTTAGTTTGAATTTTAAAATTTTAAAACTGATATAATTAGTTTAATTCGTGATTTTACCTTTAAGCCGCCTGAACTGCCTGATTACAAAATAAAATCTGATTAGAAGATAATTTAATTAAATAATATAACATATTTTTTTATAGTATTTTAAAATTTCTTTTTCTTATTTTATAAGATTATAACTCTATTAACTTAATTAAAAAAATAAAAATGGCTGATTAGAAGATAATTTAATTAAATAATATAACATATTTTTTTATAGTATTTTAAATTTTCTTTTTCTTATTTTATAAGATTATAACTCTATTAACTTAATTAAAAAAATAAAAATGGAACATCTATATATTCCCTAAGTTATTTCTTCATTTTAATCATGCACTCTAATCTTAATTCTAAATTTTTAATTTACCTACAACTTTATTTTTTTATAACTAGTTTGTGTCTTTACTCTTAGAACCCTAAATTTCTAATTTATTTTTAAAATAATCTTATTATTTCTTAACTAAGTTTTAAATAATTATCATTTTAAAACCCTTAAAACTATATAATAGAATTAGTCTTAATATTCAACTATTCTTAGATATTTGGTTTAGAAGTTTTAAATTTTGATTTTAAATGCTTCTAATCAATTTTAGTAATATTGATGTTAAATGTTATTAACTTTTAATAGGATTTAAAAAATGGAATTAAATTATTAATGTATTAAGAAAAAAAATTTAATTTTAATCTTCAATAATTATTTACGCTATACTAGAAATTTGAAGTTATTTTTTATTGTTTTTGGTGCCTCTAATGATGTAACTAAGAAGAATTTTCAGAGCTTTTCAATTTTTACAAATGTAAAGAAGTATAAGAATTCGTTTATAATTTTTACTTTTTATTATGTTTTTACTGATTTGGATGATAATGTATTGGATAGTGATTGGTACACCCTATATTTCAATACCCGATTCAATACATTTCGGTTTAATCATTAAAAAATCATTATTTTTTAGTCTGAAATTAAAAACAGACAAATATAATAATACAATCATGCACATAGGATACAAGAACCGACTGAATTAATTGTATTTATATTATATTTTTAATGATTAAACTGAAGGATGTTGAATCGAGTGTTGAACTGAAGGGTGTACCAAATATTTTCCTAATGTATTTTATAGTTGTACTTTCTATTTGATGTTAAAATATTTTTATATTATTTTATATATTTAATAATATTAAAAACTGATCAATCCGATTGAATCACATCAATCCAATTTAAATTAGATTGATTTGGTTATCACATAATAATGGATTAGATTAATTTAAAATTTTCAATAACCAATTAAATTAAATTGATTTAAAATATAATAAAATCTCAACTAAACCACACACGAACATCCCTAATTCCAGGTCACCTACAAAATTTGAAATTCTTAAATTTTCTTCGTCGTCTCTATCTTCCTCCTCGAATGCAGGACTTCTATGTATGATTCCATCAAACAAGCTTTAGGCTGAAATGTTTAAAAGTTCAAGACTCCACATTGAAGATCTCGTATTCATACTTTAAAATGGGTGAAGAGATTAAGGGAAGGGAGGGTTAATTATTGTATAGCTTAATATCTATGCATCAATAAAATAATCAAAGAAGCTTCCGTTTTCAATTCAATGGCGATGGATTCAGTGCAGGGGAGTGAGATAAACCATGGCGGAAATTTCTGAGGAAAAAAGATGAGAATTCAGAGTAAAAGGCATTTGCATTGCGCGTTGCTCGTAGTAGTTAACGAGATTCAAACGGCCATTGCAGCGATCACTACTATGACGACTCGAAGATGGAAGCTACATCGGATATCTTTCCGATCACCTTTGTTCCCCGATGTAATTTATGGAGTCGTTTTCATTGTATTTGTATATCTTCCCCAATGCTTTCTCCTTGGGATTGGGAAACCGGTTCTGTTAGGCTTGGCGTCGGAGAGCGGGAAGCAGCTGCAATGAGCAAGCAAATTGAATTACGATCCCTAGCCTTACCGGTGAGTTCGATCTAAAGCTCTGTGCGTAATGTAACTGCCGGTTTTCTTTCTGATCGTGAAATTTCCTTTGTTTCAGCGGCTGAATGTGCGCCGCACGGGTGAAGATGATGAACGGAACCACTACGGGTCCGGCCATGTCGCGATTTACTACTTGGAGGTCTATTCATTAATTTAATTTGGATTTTGGAGATTATAGGTTTGATTTGTGTTTTAAGATTTGAATTATGTATTTTCATATATAATTGATTTGAATTAGTATGCAGGGTTTGGATGATTTGTGCATTTTTATAATTGATGATAGAGAATGCAAATAATATATTACCTGTGCATTCAATCAGTGGATTTGACATGTATTGAAGGGACGATGGAATGCTTCTTTTTTAAGCAGATATAGTCTCCATTGACTATGTTTGAATGATAAGCTTGATTTTGTTTCTTTTGGATACAGTTATCTCATGGACAGATGGAAATGATTCTTTCATTATTAGTGCTTAGTTTTGAAGAGGCTGAAGGGTGCTCTTATGTATGGTAAGTCATGGGAAAATAGTGGATAAGAATGCATGAATCTCTAAACTTAAAACATTCTGATTCATGCAATTTGACATGCTGAATCTGATGCTCCTTTTTTTTTGTAGGGATCGCATCCATGATGAGCGGAATAAGTAGCTTCCCGGTTGTCTTAGTGGTAAGAATTTTCCATGTTCATTTGAAGGTCACCTATTCTTTTCTTGGCTAGAATGTTTGAAGGAACCTAAACTATGGAACTATTTTCCTGTGAAATTGCATTTGTCCCAAGAAATGTAAGAAACATTTTGAAACTAATAAAAATCACATGGATAGAAATATCTCTCAAGTAAGACTCTATATAGAAGTTTACATATTTTTTTATTCTTTATTGAAGAGAACAAGGATAGTTTCATTTGTTGACTGAACTTTCAAGCCTTTATGTTCGTGACTCCTAGCCTTCTACTGATGTTTCTTCTCTGCATTTAAAAGAATTATTGATTCCTATCTAACTACTTGATGCATATCAGATGGAACAACAGTCCCACAGACAGTAATTTGCATCCGAAGGTTGGTACTAGAATCAGAATGAAAGTTCTTCATAATCAATTGAGAAGCTAAACAGTCTCTTTCTCAAGAAGTTAAGACATGTTTCTTCCTTCTTTCTTTCTTTTTTTTTTTTTGTTTTTTTGCACTTGATTATTTCGGGCGTGCCGTTGTTGTCATCAACTGCATTGTGGTGCTCCCTTCAGCAGCAATTGACCAGCTTTCCGCCATGCATAAACCCAAGTATACATTCACACTAATGTTACTATCATTTGCTGCTCTTTTTATATGCATCATTGATCGTGTGTACAAAGCACGAAGGGAAGGTGTTAGCTGGAATTGGAGGGGCAAGGTACCGTGGCTTTACCATTCATCTCCGAGCAACAACAAACCCTTCTGCAGCTTCTCTGATATTGTTGGATTGCCTTGTGCGGTCTGCCAATCCATCTTTACTACAATTAATTATGCTTTGCTTCATCGACATACCAACAGTCAGATCCAAATATCTGTGTGGCCTATTATTTTTTCGTTTGTTTTACTATGTGCCAGATTTTATGACAAGCCAAACAAGACAGAGAGTGGAGGAAGTGTTGGTCAAGAAGAGAGAATTGCCCTCACTAATCAAAGCTAGTTGTTTAGTTGGTTTGTGGATCAAGATACGTAACTTCTGATGTACTCAATATCCATGAAAGTTTCAATGAAACGTTAGGCTTTGGGTTAAGGTGGAAGCCCTAGTATGGTAAGTCTTATGTTCAAGTCAATTTTGTCTAGTGATTGGTTTGTACTAGATTGGTTGATATGTGTTGAAATATGTTATGAATAGGTACTTTCATAGTTTCATCCATAAAAGAAATTACTTTTAGGAAATGTCAAAACGAACTTGAAAATCCATTTTTTCCCCTTGTTTTTAAGTGCATAAACCCTCAAACTTCAATTGTTTGAAGTGAAAAGTAGTCACTAGCAGTCAAAAGTTGTTTGAAACTTCCATCCCACATATCAAACAGTTACCTATAAGTTTGTTTACCTATATCAAGCCGTCAACTCTATTTTTTTAAAACAGCCATATATTGATAAAATCAATTAAACTAAATACACTTTTTATATTATTTGTGTAGCATTTTTGGTATGTTTAACTTTCAATGGTCACCTCACCAGCCTGCAAACACGCAGAATCGCCGAGTTGGACTTCAACAAGGAATGCCCAGCCAACAAGACGGTGGTGAGGCCAGTATTATTTGTGTAGCATTAACAAAAGGCCATGTAGCAATAACCAAGCCCTAGGCACCATACTTTATTTCTCAGGTGATTTCATTTCTCTCCTTAGCAGCAATTATTTACAGAGGAATTGTCACATGGAATCAATGACATAATGCTTTGATCTTTATAAAATGTCAATTACAAGGGAATTCAAGAACAGTAACAAGAAATGCTTTTTGGCAAGACATTGCAAGTGTTACTTGAATTAAGGCTGCAAATGCCAATCCAAAGGAGTAAATTTATGAGGTTTGTGAAGCATCAATTCTTGGTACAGTCAAAACTCAACCCACAAAGATGCAGATATGTAGGAGAGTATCTAAGCCATGGGAACAACTAAAATACAGTGTGATCGCAGAAAATTACCTATGAAATGCATGACTCAGCAACAGTTTCAAGAAATTAAGGATTGATAAGAGTAAGCTCAGAATGCTGACTACTGAAATCCGGTCACCTAGTGAGCACGGGTCATCTTTATTTTCGGCATACCCTTCTTCAATTGACGAGCACGATCTTTTGCTTCTTTCCTGCGAATGGCTTCTGCACTGAGCTTGGCCTCAGACTCCTCCAGCATCTTTTTCTTCTCAGCCTTCTTTTTCTGCAAAGCTTCTTGTCTAGTGCTTTGAAGCTCCTTGTATGCCTCTTGAGCAGCCTTCAACCTAGCTGCATCTGTTTTAGAATGTGCCTGCATCGAGCAAAGAAGTCTTAATAAGACGATCAAAATTACATACTAAATTTTACCATGTACAGTGAATTCCAATTGTCTTACCTGTGAACTGAGTTTATACCGCCCGATCATATCAATGTAGTAGGGCACAAGAGCCACCAACCTAGTCATATCAGCCATGTGGTTAGCATCAGGGAGGGCAAACTTGAATAAAAGCATCTTCTTGTGTGTGCCAGGAAGCTGATCTGAGATATGCATTGAAATGAAGTCCTTTCCATACTTCTCAAAAGGTTTTTCACCAAAAACCTGCAGAATATCAAACACAATTTATAGCACATTTTAAAGAGAAATTATTAAGTTGTCTAGAAAATAAACCAAATGCACGAAGAATACCAACTACAACCTATACTGCCTGATTAAAAATAGAAATGAGTGGACATTTCAAGGTCTTAACTTGGAAGTATGCATGGTGTTGATGGCAAGCGGAAATCGAACTTTGAAATAGAAAAATAGTGACTGAAAAGCAAAAGCCAATGGGTTCTCAAGAAAATTTTTCCAACTACAAAAGAAAATTATCGGCAAATGAAGCACCTTTTCTAGACAAAGTTCCACTCAAATGCATGTTCATAGATAATCAGCACGACAATCATTAGCCCCCACATACTGTAAAATCACATCATTTTCATGCTTCTTTACAATGAACTAACAGACTAAATGCTAATCACTGAAAAATCATGCGCAACAAGCCTGCCATTTCTTTGGAAAAGGTTATTCTGAATTTTACATATTAGTGAAGTTAAGTCATTTTCTAAATTGATAT